ATATATATATATATATATATATATATATATATATGTATTATAAAATTTGATTAAGCTCTTCTTTGAATATTATATCTTTACAGAGCTAAAGAATGGATAAATGACTTTGGTACGAAAGTTGCTATGCGCATTATGTCTCGAGCATATTCAGCTATCATTCGTTATCATGATAGGTAACTAAAACTAATAACATTCATGGCAACAAAAAAATATTAATCGATTTTATTTAATATGACTACAGAAGTAAAAATGTCTTCACTTATCATTTAAAAAATGTTCTTTCTTCACAATTTGAAATTTTCATTATCTTTTACTATTCTTTTACATAAAAGATTCTCTAGCATCTAGAAACCAAATTTTAAATCTAAATCTTACCTATAAAGCAAATAATGTACCAAGCAAATGGTAAATAAAATATTTTATCTAAGGATAATATGTGTTGTATTCGAAAAAAAATTTAGAATTGCATTAAGTTTACTTGGTTTTTAGCAGTAAAAAACTTGGCATTTTCACATTTCATTCAGACTTTAATTCTTTTGTTTACTGCTAGAATTATAACACCAGCATAAAGTGATACAGCTTAGTTTTCAATTAATTTAGACAGTATAAGATCGTAAAAAGTGGCATATGTGTTGCAAATCACACTTCGCCTTTAGATATACTGATACTTAGCTGCGACAATACGTATGCAATGGTTGGTCAAATGCATTGTGGTGTATTAGGTAATGACTTTATTTTGATCCAGTGAGTAATTTACTGATAGTGCTGTTTTTAATATACAAAAGTCAAATATTCTTCAGGACTTATTCAAAAAGTCTTAAGCAAAGCAGCTCAACATGTATGGTTTGATCGTCTTGATGCTAGCGATCGAAAACAAGTTTTGAAAAGGTTTTGTGTTATTCAAATTTGTTTTCGCCTTAAAAACGGATCAAAATACTTTAAGTAGAAAACTTTCGATAAAACAATTTTGGTATCCCATTTTGGTATGCACTATATCCTATTCAGTCATTGCAATTTAAGTCTTATAAATGAAAAAAAAAAAAAAAACTATGAATGAAAATTAAACCTTATTCGTTGACTTCCTAGCGAAATTACTTTTCAGTTCAATGAAAATTGCTTTTTTTGTTTTTTTTTTCTTTGATCCCAGCGGATTAAGTTCATTTCAAATATTCTGTTATACTTTGTGGCATATGTAGATAAAAATACAATACATTCTGTCATCTTTTCAGTGATTTTCAGGCTTCAAGAACATGTCGATAATTCCGATTCATTGCCTATTATAATTTTTCCTGAAGGAACATGTATTAATAATACATCTGTAATGATGTTTAAAAAAGGATCATTTGAAGTTAGATTATTTTTTGGTGAAAAATGATAAAAGCATTATGCCATATTAAAATATCATTAAAGAATGAATTTGTGTATTCCTCTTTATCAAAGTATTTTTCAACAGCTCATCTAATTTTTTTGCAAAAAAAAAAAACTATATATAAGAAATATAAAAGTGTGAATTGAACTTTAGGTAGGCAGTACGATTTATCCAATAGCAATTAAATATGATTCAAGACTTTGTGATGTTTTTTGGAATAGCAGTGAGCAGTCATATGGCGAATATCTGTTCTGTTTAATGACTTCTTGGGCAATAATGTGTGATGTATGGTATTTACCACCAATGTCGCGCGAAGTATGTGACTTCTAGTTGAAGAATTAACTCGCGTTGACATATTTTCAAAATTTAAGCAAGAAATTTTATGCCTTGTACAACATTTTCTACTCATTAAAATATCAAAATTTGATTTAAAAATTCACATTTTTAATATTTTTGTTAGTTTAAATTTACATAAATATTAGAATTTAGAATTCATGGAACTGAATATGATTCAGGAAGGCGAAGATTCGATTGATTTTGCTCGGCGTGTTAAACATGCAATTGCTAAAAAAGGTGGTTTGCTAGAACTGGAATGGGATGGTATGTTAAAGCGCATGAAGGTCATACTTTACAGATTAAATCTGCTCCATAACCATTCATTAAAAATAATCAATTCTTCCACTTTATAATATTATAATTGTAGGTCCCTGCGAAAATAGTGGTTGCTCAACAAAAATGTTATTGGGATCGTTTGTCCAGAAAACCAGTAATTTGTAATAAAGGTGAAAATAACGAAAAATATTCTTATAAGGTGATTACTTTTTGTTATGAAAGAAATTGTCCGTTCTTCTTTTTTAAAACTCATCACAAGCAAATTTAATGCCTTCATTAAAAAAGTTAACTTAATGTTTGCTTTCAGAAGCAAAGAGAAGCTTTAAATTCATCAGAAGACATTGCAGAAAGTTATGAAGAAAAAAAAGCATCTGAATGAATATTCAAATGTAATTAAAGATATTGAGTAATTCATTTCATTTTAATGGTGATCGTTTATCTGTATAGCTTTTTATTATTTATACTTTCCAAGAAAAGAAAAATGAGCAAGAGTAGTACTGTACTAGAACTGCATCTTTTCATATTACAGCGCATTCATTTTCTTCTAGTGCAGTGAATAAATGAAAAATGACAGACTATTCAGTTTGCAAACATTGAATATTTAAAATATGAATAAATTATATATGATTGTAGAAGCAGTTATGAAGGTATCATCAATTGAAATTCATAGTTTTGAAACCAAACCAAATTTGCCATTTGTCAGTTTCTCTTCTTCACTCTTCTCAAAACTGCAATTAATGCAAATGAAATTTTGGCTCTGAAATAATGCTAATCCTACTTTTAATTAAATAAAATTGCTAATAATGATTGTTTTTTGCGTTTTTTCTCAAAAGTAACATGCTTGAACTACGACACAGAAAGTTTAAACTTGATAAAGATAATGATCGCAATTCAAATGCCGCATACATAGTTATTTCACATTTGTTTGTTTTTATTTCAGTACATACATGCTGCGTAGTTTAAAAATGATTGCAGCATAACTCATTTAAAAAAGTAATCTCACTCTCATGAGCATTATTTTTTATTTTTAAAAGTTTAAGAACAATACGATAAATGTCTGCCAGCAAGCAAAAATGATGCTGGGGAACAATTGGCATGTAATCAGTAACTGCAGCACACAAAGAAGCATATAGAGACCATAAATGATCCAGTAATATTTTCTGTACTTTTAATCCTCCTCAAGTCATTCATTGATTAAAACTACATCTGGAAGAAAACAGTAATTTCTAATTGCACTTTTTTTCAGTTTTTCACTTCTCTGCCTTCTTAATCAATGTGTTCTGTAAAAAATTAGTAAGAACCTTAATGCCTAATTGCTTATCTTTACTTTTACAAAACTTTATTATTTTGAGTTTTACTGATTATTAGCTGATTCGTGAGTTAACCCTTGATCCATGAATGCGCAATGCCTGTGAGTTGGGCTGATTGTTATTTCAAATAGATCGAACACTTTATAAACTAATAAAGAATTTCATTTAATTAGTCGCAAACAGGTTTGAGCATGATTGATATGTTCTCCTATTTTATTACCACTGCAGTCAACTATTTGTTTCATGTAATACACAATTCAAACTCAAACTTCTCCGTAATGAGTAGACTGACAATACTTCTTACATTGCGTTTTCTTATCAACCATTTGTATTATTGTACTAAAAATTTTATACTAGACCATTGCAATTAAAGTAATTAGATTTTTATTTCTATTTTTGCACAAGTTGAATTAACACATGAATTTTAGACAAAATGCCATCATATAAGTTGTATTATTTTGATTTAATGGGAAGAGCAGAGGTCATTCGTTTAATATTTGCACAAGCTGAAGTACCGTATGAAGATATTCGTTTTAATAAAGAAGACTGGGCAACTCATTACAAACCAAGTGAGTTATAATATATCACAAAATTTATTTCATGAAATATTTGGTAAGTGCTGCATTTAGTGATAATAGACTTTATAAAGTGAACAAAAAAATTTTCATTACAGTGATGCCATTTGGTCAGGTGCCAGTTTTGGATGAAGATGGTAAACTCTTATCTCAATCCACTGCTATTGCTTTATATTTGGCTAGAAAATTTGGTTAGCACTTTAACACTGAATTCAATTTTTAATTTACTTTAAGTATACGTTATCAATACACGTAAAAGATTTTCTGCGAAAGTTAGAAATAGCATTAAGTTTCAGAATGTTTTAAATTGTGAAAAATTTCTTGCTGCAAAAATGCTATTCAGTTCAGTTTTTATATGCTACCATAAAAAGAAATAAATTGTAAATTTTACACATTTGCTTTGAATATTTAAATTGCACATTTCATTACTTGTAATTAAAAGGAATTATAATTAGATCTGAATGGAGAAAATGAATGGGAAGCTGCGAAAGTGCAAGAAATGTTTGGTTTAGCAACAGATTTGGCAACGAATGCAATGTCTTGGTATAAATGTGAAGATCTTGACAAGAAGGTAAAGCAGTTATTTAAAGCACTGCTTGCCTAATTTTACTTTTATTTATTCTGTGCTTGCAATAAAATTCATTTCCTTGATTATTGATTTATGAGAAAATAATCAGTCAATATCATTTTTTATTAATTTTTACGTATTTCATCTTTATTATTGCAATAACACTAACCCATTTATTTTTGCCTGAGTTATTTGTTTTTAATACAGAAATAATATAAACTTATTTACTTTTGATTAAGCAAATATTTTTGATACTGTCAATACATTTTACCAAAAGCATTAATTAATTTGCCAAAGAACTTAAATTAGCTACAAATTTTTGTATATTTTTGAGTATTTTCAAGCTATTTACCAACTAACTGTTTTTATTAAGAATGTTTGATGATGACAGAGAAAAGCAGTGAATAGAATTCTGATTAGATTATACAAATTAAAAAACATAGAGGAAATTTTGGAGTGACAATAAAATCAACTTCCAGAAGCAGCTAATGGCTGATTTTGAAACTGCACATCTAATGCCAACATTGAAAAGACTTGAAAATGTTCTGACGAAGAATGGCACAGGTTATTTCGTCGGTAAAAAGGTTGGCTAAGTTATTATTTGTTTGAATTTTTGTGCATAAAATTTTTCAACTTTGAAATTATAGTATTGAGGAAAAAAATAACGCTTTTAATTTTTCTCATAAAAAATATCAATAAAAATGATCAGTCACATTGCAAATTATGCATACTTTTTGCAGTTGACTGCTGCGGATTTAAACATGTTATGTATGGTTGGATATCTTAATTCGCAGTTCCCAAATTCACTAATCGATTTGCCACATCTGAGTGATTTCAAGAATAGAATGATGGAACTACCGAAGATAAAAGCGTGGGTCCAAGCAAGACCCAAAACTGATTATTAATTGATTATATTAATTTTTATAATGGAAGCAAAAGTTTATCAAGAAAAAAAATTATTGATAAAGACAATGATAATTTGCTTAAGTAATTTGGTGACTTAATTTTGATACTGTGAAATTTGTTTAGCTTTTTTTCTTATTTGCCATGATATTTGATAGAAATATAATCTTTTGATATATTTGATAGAAATTATTGGGTAAATCTATTTTTCAATAGCAGCACTTCAGTGTAATGAACAAAATCCCAGCAGTATTGTTATTATTCAAAGTGAAACTAATCAAAATGCTCAGGCCAATATTAAATTAATTAGTGAAGCTGGTTACAAATGATTGTATGACAAGCAAGAACACGTCCCAAAAGATGTGGTTTTTGACTTTTAAATTACAGTAATTCATTGCAGACTACTCTAATTTGACATGTCTCTTAATGCATGAAATCATTCACTACCATTTCCTTATAATTCAATTGCTGTTGAATATCAAAGCTTCATAAGAGCAAGAAATTACTGCTACAACCTACATAAATAGTACAGATAAATAAAAATAAAGGTTACACGAAAGTAAAAATTTTGGTAAGCATAAATATACAGAAAACAGGTGCGTACATTTCAAACTATACAAGTGTCGTGCACATAAAAAGCACTTAATTACCTTACAGCTGAATCAAAAACTGACGAGCTCACAGAGTGTTCTTCTGATCCTATAAATTCTATTAATATTAAATTATTATCAGTTAAATATTTTGATTACATTAGTTATTCACTCACCAGCTTTGCCAGACTAAGAAAATTTGTTGAAAAAGGACATTCCAATACAAATGTACACTTCCAATTTGCAAATGAAATAATGCAACTGACAAAATTAAACATCTGCTTTTAACTTTTTACTCACTGATAGTAATAATTTTCGCATTTGTATTAGCAATTAATGCATATCTGAGCACTGAATACTTAATTCTGCTATTAGATCAAAAAATTATATTTTTTTCTAGTTCTTTCACTGCACAATTGGTAATGCGTAAATATTACTGTCTAAAATGTAGAATGCACAGAATATTTTAAGCACAAAATGAAATTGACGAGTAGTGAATCTATGCAGTAACTGATCCACAAAAGATTTTTAAAATAAATTCAAGCAAAGAGAAGTTATGATCCCTTCACTTTCTATTCAGACTGATAATAATCTCAGCGTTAGTCATCAAATTATGGCAACTTTAATCTAAAATATATATATGTCACCACTTATTATTCGTTACAGCTTCATAAATATATGCTTATTATGTAAGAATGCAGTCACCTGATCTTTCCATTCTACAAATGTTTTTCACCTTAAACTGAATGAAATAGTTTATATTCGTGAAAAATATCATCATTCTGATCCATTTCACATGCTACAAAAATTGATCCAATGAATATTTATGAATATAAAAACGATTCGCGCAAGACTTGAATCCACGGTATTGCGAATTATTAATTTCATTTATAGCCACAACGTAAAATTTTGTTTTTGTACGAATAAACTTCTTTATTAAATCTTAAATATATGAAATCTTAATACATCGGACACTTTATATTCACAAATGTATAAAAGTATAACTATCACTTTCCACTGCCACTATACTCATATTTATTGTACAAAATGCAAATATAATGATGCAGAAAATATAGTGAATAAAAACATGGAAAAATAAATTCTGCACTGACTCAGCACAGTTCGTCATATTTCCAACTACACAACACTGAATCTAAACAGTCAGAAAGCATCATTTTCCTTTCATTCCAGAAACCAAACCCACCAAGTGTAAGACTTCAATAACAATAATTAATTGTTGTCCTTAGCGAAAAATTTTGAAGTAGCGCACTTACGAAAAATAAAACTTCCTTTCTTCAACATTTTCGCATCGATTATTACACTTGACATCTAAGTATGACAAACTTTTTAAGGTTAAAAAGACAGGATTTGGTGATGCTAAAAATTTTTGTTATTCGGATACCACTAAATTCAACGGAAATGAGTACAAGCATAGAATTATCTAAGAATATAAGAAATAATTACTATCTGGTTTCCCAGTGAGTGCAGCAGTTCTTGGTACCAACTGAAGCTTTCAATTCATTGAAATATTTGGGAAACACATTGCCAAGATTACATTTTTACATAACAGCCCACGCACCATTTACATAACAGTCAGATCAATTTTTCAATATTGCAGATCGTTTTCAGACTTATCTACTTTTAATTTTCGCAATCTCTACTATATTTTTTTTCCCTGAAACTCATTATTTGTTTAGAGTCAAAAAACAATGAAATGATTTAAAGAATTAGAAAATTCGCATTAATAAAACTACTGCAATAAGCAGTACCAGTAGTTGCAACAAAATACTATTTAGAATGAAAAAAACAATAAGTGACAAAATTTACTTAGTTGATCCTAAAACATGAAATTTATCTAGCTGAATCAAACAAAGTAACAAGTAATCATAGCTATATTACCAGATTATGAGGAGTATAGGAAATTATAACAAGAAGATCAAAAACTATAGAGGTGAAGGTGAAAAGTTGAAAAAAAAATCATGTTAACAAAAAAACAGCGATGGAAAATTGCAAATCATTTTTCAACAAATCCACACACAAATAAATCACGAAACAAATTGTGATTTCGTATGGTCTTAAATTATACTTCACAAAACAACAAGACACATAGGTGGATTTAACATGAGGAATGAAAAAAAATGCTAACAACGCAAGTATGATAAATTGGTCCCTGAAGAAAACAAAACAACGATATTGCAAGGAATGTCTGAATATGACACTGATATAATATCAAGCAACTTATAAAACACAAAAACAAATACAGGTTGAAAACTACGCACAAATTAAATTAAAATGATTTGAGGAATATAGGTTTTCAAAAATTTGAATTCAAGACTGTTGCAATTAAAATGGTAATTTATCCTACCCAATCAGTTTATTTTTATGCAATTATTTAGAAGAACTTTGAATTTTATATAACATATAGCAAATAAAAAATTGTAGTACAGATACTTCTGAAAGAAAGTAGTATCAAAGATGTCATTATTTTAGCTTTAATTTCAGTCTTTTTGATTTAAATTATCAATATTTTAGTTAAAAAAGACGATATCAAAACATACGTCGTCAGGTTAAAATGGTTTATTTTACTGGAGTTGTTGAATTAAGTAAGTACAGTTCCATATTCAGCTCTTCACTGTTAAAAAATGTAGCGTATAAATTAGCTTTCATATCTTTTCAACTGATGTAATTAACGCAGCTTGAAAAGAAAAAGTCATGAAGAATTTTTGAAAATGTTAATTAGGACGAAAGTTTCGGGATTCCAAGAAAAAATTCGGCAACTCCAGTATAATAAACCATTTGTGCAATACCGAAAAGAGGAGCCATGACCATCATCCGACATATTGCACCTTTGAACAACGCACGCGAGCCTTCATATCGCAAAATTTTCCTAAAAATCAACTTCATTCGAAAAACTTATGACTAGCTGTAAGCTTTATTTTCAATGAATTGTTAAAAAATGAACTTACGTAAAAGCATCGTAGATGTTACGATACTCCATTTCCCCTTTACCACGATTGATTAATTGCATACGTGTTTTGATCACTAAAGTAGAAACAAGACTAAGTTATATCAATTACAATTTCTATTAGAATATTGCTACACATATATGACTTGATCGATTTTCCAGATTCAAATTATAATAAAGATTCTCTCTCAACGC